ATTGTCTTGTTTGGCTATCAGTGTAATATTGACTTCATTAAATGAGTTGTTGTTCCTCTCCTATTTTCTGGTAGTAACTTTGGAAAAGTGTGTTAATTCTTCATATTTGGTGAAATCATCAGGATCTGTTATATATAAATTTGTTTCAAAATCAAAATTGAAATAAAATAATTTTTAAAAATAAGCGAAGAGAACAATACCATATGTTATTATCTGATAAGTATTTTAAGGCCACTATCACAAAAATGCTGCAATGTGCAAATTATGAATGTGCTTTAAAAAAATGGAAAAAAAGTAGAAAGTTTCAGGAAAGAAAAAAAGATATAGAGAAGAACTAAAAGGAATTTTTAGGGTAAAATATACAGTAACAAAATAAAATAAACTGATTGGATGGACCTAAAATAAGAATGGAGAGGATAGAACAATCAGTAAAGTTAAAAATAGAATGATATATACCACACAACTTAAACAACAGAAAGAAAATAGATTAAAAAAGAAGCAATAACAGAGCTTTGGGGACATGTAGGAAAGTATCAAAAGGTCTAACATTTATATTAGAAGATTTCTAGAGGAAGAGGACAATTGGCAAGGCTGACAAAAAAAGTAAATATTCAAATTAGCATTCCGCATAAAATGGGACATCAGTACAGACCCCAAAGACATCAAAAGAATAAGAAAGAAATACTATGATAAATTCTACATGTGTACATTTGGTAATTTAGTTGAAGTGGGCCAATTCATAAAATCACAAATACTACAATTCACAAATATAATTTAAGTAGCCATATCATTATTAAGATAATTGAATTCATAACTTAAAAAAATCCCCCCAAATGGAATCTCCAGATCCCGATGATTCGCCAAATATGAAGAATTAACAACACTTTTCCAAAGTTACTACCAGAAAATAGGAGAGGAACACTTCACAACTCATTTAATGAAGTCAATATTACACTTCTGGCCAAACTAGACAATGAACAACAAACAACAAAAATCCTAAAGGCCAATTTATATATTCCTTGTTTATATAAATTATATATATTCCTTATATATACAGATATGAGATGTAAAAATTCTTAACAAAATATTAGCCAGTAGAATTCAGCAATATGTAAAAAACAATTGTATGTTATAACCATATGGGTTTTTTTCCCCAGGGATGTGGGGATGTTTCCACATTCAAAAATCAATCAGTATTAACAATGAAAAGAAGAAAAATCACATGATCACATCATTTAATGTAGAAAAAACATTTGAGAGTTTAATGTCTATTTATGATAAAAACTCCAATAACCAGCAACAGAGGGGGACTTCTTAAACTTGATAAAGAACATCCACAGAAAACATATGTAACTGACGTTATACTTAGTGGTGAAAGATTGGATGCTTTCCCTCTAAGATCAGGAACAGGATGGAGATGTCCATTTTTACCACTGCTATTCCACATAGTACTGGAAGTTCTAGCCAGCGAGATAAATCAAGAAAAGGGAAAGAAAGGCATACTACTGGAAAAGAAGAAATAAAATGGTTCCTATTTTCAAATGACATGCAGGGTTTACATAGAAAATCTCAAGTACTCTACAAAAACATGTTATAATAAGTGAGTTCAGTGAAGTTGCAAGATACAAAAATCAATTGTAGTTCTATATACTAGCAATGAACACATGAACTAAAATTAAAAATGATATCATTACAGTTATTTTAAAAAAGAAATGTTTAGAAGTAAACATAACAAAAGACACATACAGGATTTGCAACCTGAAAAGTAAAAAATGTTGATGAAAGACATCAAGGAGGATTTAAATTGATGGAGAGATATACCATATTCATTGATTAGAAGACTCAACATAATAAAGATGTCAAATTGATATGTAAGTTTAATACACTGGTAGAAAAAACTCAGGAAGACTTTTTTTTTTGAAGATATAGATAAGATTATTCTTAGATTTAAATGGAAAGAGAAAGGATAGCCAAGACAATTTTGGACAAAATGAAGTAGGGGAAATCCTTCTACCTCCATGATTTACTGTATAGTTGCAATAAACAAAGAGTATGGTATTTGTGGGATCAATAGAACAGAAGAGAGAATCCAAGAATAGCCTGAAATAGGTATGACCAACTGATTTTGACAAAGGTGCAAAAGCAATTTGACAGAGGAAGAATGAATAATCTTAAATTTTTTTTTTTAGTTATCAATGGACCTTTATTTTATTTATTTATACATGGTCCTGAGAATCAAATCTAGTGCCTCACACATGCTAGGCAAGCACTCTATCACTGAGCTACAACCCAGCCCAGGTAGGATAATCTTAAAAAAAAATGGTACTGGAATATTTGGATAGTCACGTACTAAGTTTGACTTACACTTTGTACCTTATGCAAAAAATCAACTGAAAGTGGATTTTAAATTTAAACATTGTTACAGTTTATATATGACATGTTCCCCAAACCTCCTGTATGAATGCAGGAATGTTCTGAGGTGAAATGATCGGATTATGAGAGCTGTAATCTAATTGGTCCACCCAAGCTTGAATGGACTAATGGGGTGGTAATTATGGGCAGGTGGGGCATGGTTGGAGGAGGTGGATCACTGAGGATATGCTCTGGATGGGTTCATCTTCCCTGTAGCACCTTACCCTTTCTCTGCTTCCTGGCTGCCAGGAATAGAGCAATTTTCATCTACTACTGCCTTTCTTCCATGATGAGAAGCCTCACCTTTGGCCCAGAGCCATGGACTTGGCTGACCATGGACTAAACCTCTCAGACCATGAGCCAAATAAACTTTCCCTCCTCTAAGCTGTTCTTGTCAGGTATTTTGGTCATGGTGACAGAAAACTGACCAATACAAGTGTAAAATGTAAAACTATAACTGGTAGGAGATGACATGAGAAACTCCGAAGGACCTAGTATTTTGTGAAGCATTCTTAGATATAACACTGAAAGCATAAATCCATAAAAATAATTGACAATTGATAATTGATAAATGGGACTTTTCTCTTTGAAAGACCTTGTTAAGAAGATGAAAGGACAGGTGCAGGTTGGGAGAACATATTTTTAAACCATGTACTTGACAAGGTATTTATATCTAGAATACATAAAGGATTGTCAAAACTCAGCAGTGAAAAATTCAACAAGAAAATGGGCAAAAGACAGAGACATTTTACCAAAGAAGAGATGGTGGCAAGTAAATACATGAAAATATGATTAGCATCACTTTAGTTTGGATATGCAATATTCCCTCAAGGCCCATGGGTTGAAGACTTGGTGCTCAGCCCCTGGGTATTATTGGAAAGTGGTAGGATCTCTAAGAGGTGGGGCCTAGTGGAAGAAAGCTCAGTGTGAGGTGTGTCTTTGGAGGGGATCTTGGGATCTCAGCCCCTTCCTTTCTCTGTTTGCTTCCTGGACACCATGAGGTAAAAGGGCCTTTACTACCTCATGCTCCCACTGTGATGTGCTGTGCTGCTACAGGCCCAAAGCAACAGGGCCAATCAACCTTGGACTGAAACCTCTGAAACCATGGGTCAAAATAAAACTTCTTTTCATTTGAGTTGATTATCTCAGGTATTTTGTCACAGAAACAGAAAACTGACTAACTAGACAATAGGGAAATGCCACTGAAGATATCACCACACACCTATTAGAACAGCTAAAATAAAAAAGAAAATAATTGCAGTATCAAATGTTAGTGAGGATGCAGAGAAAGTTGACAACTTACATTTTGTTGGTGGGAAGGTGAAATGGGATAGCTATTATGGAAAATAGTTGGTCAATTTATTTTATTTTTAATATGTACATATGTGAATATAACAGAATGAATTCCACCTATATGTATATCTATAAAGCCCCAATTAAAAACAACAAAAAAATGGAAGGAAGACTAGTAGAATAAGGAAGGGAAATGGGGAGGGGGAAGGAAAGATGAAGTACTGGGGACTGAAATGGAGCAAATGTTTTCCATGCATGTATGATTATGCCAAAATGAACCCCAGTGTTATGTACAACTATAATGCTCTAATAAAAAAATTAAAAAAACTAAACACACACTTACGGTGACCTAACAAGTACATTCTTAGGCATCTATCTTAGAGAGATAAAGATTTATGTCCTCCCCCAAACCTCTACATCATTGTTCTTATCAGCTTTATTTGTAATAGTCAAATATTGGAAACAACTGAATGGTCTTCAGTAGCTGAATGGTTAGGTAAACTGCAGTATTCTATAGTGAAATGGACTATTTTACACAAAACAACTTGGATGGATCAACAGGGGATTATGCCAAGTAAAAAAAAGCCTATCTCAAAAGGTCATGTGCTGAATGATTCCAATTATATAACATTCTCAAAATGTCAAAATTATAGAGATTGTATTAGTTTCCTAGGGCTGCCATAATAAATTACCACAAACTTGATGGCTTAAAACAACAGAAATTATTCTCTCACAGTTCTGGAGGCCAGAGTCTGAAATCAAGGTGTCATCAGAGTTGGCTCCTTCCGAAGTCTCTGAGACAGTTATCTGTTCCACACTTCTCTCCAAGATTCTGGGGGCTGCCATCAGTTCTTTGCATCTGGCTTCTAGATGTGTCACTCCAGTTTCAGCCTCCATCTTTATATTTATTCTTTCTGTCTCTTTAAGTCTTAAATGTCTCTCTACCTTTCTCTTATAAGTATACCTGTCATTGGATTCAGGGCTTACCTTAATAAGCCCAGGTTGGTTTCATCTCAAGATCCTTATCTTAGAGTTGCAAAGACTTTTTTTTTTTCCAAATGCTATGGCTCAAATACAGTTTGTCCCCTCCAAAACTCACGTTGAAATTGGATTGCCATTCTGGTGGTGTTGAGGGGTGGGACCTGTAACAAGTCATTAGGTCTTGAGGGGGATTGATGCCTTTCTTGTGGGAGCAAGTTCTTGCTCTCAAGGGACTGGATTAGTTACTGTGAGAATAGTTTGGTATAAAATGAGACAACCCATTTGTTTGGTCTCCACTGCACACAGTCACTTACCTTTCTGCTTTCCAGTATGAGTTGAAGTAACACAAGGCCCTCGGCAGATGGTATGGAATAGAATCCAGGCCCAAACTTGGACTTAGTCTCCAGAACCATGAGTCAACATAAACTTCTGTTCTTTAAAAGTTGCTTAGTCTCTGATTTTTTCTCTCTCTCTCTCCTCTCTCTGTCTCTGTCTCTGTCTCTGTCTCTGTCTCTGTCTCTGTATCTGTCTCAATAGCCATAGAAAAGCTACTAAGGTGATAAATAAGATCATATTTGCAGATTCTGGAGGTTAGACATTTGACATATCTTCTTGGAAGCCACTATTCAACCCTCTAAAGAGATGGAAAACAGATTTGTGGTTTCCATGGATTAGGGGTGGTAGGAGGGTGTGACTATAATGGGATAGTTCCAGAGGGAGATCTCCATACCGATGGAACAGTTCTAAATTGTGATTATCGTGGTGGTTGCGTGGATTCACATATGTGATGAAAGGATACACATTGTTCCAATGTTGATTTTGCAGGTTTAGATGGTGTACGGTAGTTATATAAGATGCTATCATTGGGAGAAACTGAAGGGCACATGGAAACTTTTCTATAATATCCTTGAAACCTCTGTGAGTCTATATCTGCTTCAAATTAAATTGTTTTAAAAATCCTACATGATAAGCATATGCATGCACATAGACACACAGAGCCAGAAACATAGGCAAAGTCAAAATGCAAATGACAAATTGGCAAGAAATATTTCTGACTAGTTACATAGAGGAATAATATACCTAAAAATGTAGAGGAGGTGGTAGATGGTTTTGAAGATGCCTGCCACCAATTCTTTCCTTCCCTGTCACATACCACTTCTCCCATCCAGGTGGAGTCTATTTCCTATTCCTTGAATTTAGCCAGCCTTGTGACTTACTGTGACCAAGAGAATGCAGAAGTGATATTCTGTGACTTCATAATCCATGCATGAAGAGAACTGGCAGCTTCTTTTTCCTCCTTCTTCGAAGTCAGCTACCAGGTAAGAAGTCTGTCTTCCCTGAGACCACAGTGCTGTGAAGAAGCCCAACTTTGCCACGTTAAGAGGCCCCACCGAGAAGCATTAAGGTATTGGTGAGTGAATACAGTCTTCTTGGATTGTCCAGCTCTGCCCAGCTGCCAAATGAATGTAGCCAAGAGGGTCACCCCAGCTGGGGGCAAGTGGAATGAAAGAAGCTTCTTGATGAGCCCATTCAACCCACAGAATCCTAAGGAGTTATACATTATTGATGCTTTAAGACACAAAGTTTTGAAGCAGCTTGTCATAAAGCAACAGGTAATTAAACCCACACATTTACACTTATAAGTATTATTATTACTGGGATCCTAAATAACCCCCAAATCCCATGGGTTGAAGCCTTAGTCTGTAGATAATGGAGTTAATGAGAAGTAGTAGAAACTTCAGGATGAAGCCTAGTTAGAAGAACTAAGTCACAGGGGGCATGCCCTTGAGGGCATATTGGTATTCCAACCCCGTTCCCTCTTTTTTTTTTTTTTGCTTTCTGGCAGCAATGAGGCAAGCAGTTTTCCTCTTCTATGTGCTCCTGCCATGATGAACTGCCTCACCACAGGCTCAAAAGCAAATGAGGCTCAGTGATCACGGACTGAAGCTTCGGAAATTGTGAGCCGAAATAAACATTTCCTCCTTTTAAGTTGTTTACCTCAGGATATTTTGTCACAGTGAGAAAGAATGCCAGAAGAACTCAACAGAAAAACAGGCCAAGAAAAGAAATAGATAGGTCACAGAGAAAGAAAGGCAAATGGTTCTTAAACGTCAAGAAATACTCAACATCAGTCTTAATAAAAGAAATTCAAATGAAACTGCCCTTAGACACCATTTATAATAAATTGGATTGGCAAAAATCCAAAGTTTGAAAATGAATAGTGGGTGGGGAGGTGAAAAAATAGATTTGGTTGTAGAGAATACAAAATTGTACAATTCTGAGAGAGACCAGTTGGAGATACACACACATACCACACACACATGTGGGATATATATATATACCCATACATACACATACATGCACATACACACACACGTATATATGTACTATGTATACATACATGTATATATAAAGCCCAAATGTATTTATTCTTTGACTCAGCAATCCTACCTCTGGGAATCTATTCAATGGCTAGATCTTCACAAGTATTAAATGACCTGTGAATGAGGTTACACACTACAGCATTGTTTGTAATGGCACAATCTTGGAAACAAGCCAAGGGTCTGTCAATACGGAGCTGATTAAATAAACATGAACCACAACTGTAAGAAAGAATGAGGATGCTCTGCAGGATCTATTAAGTCAAAAAGGAAGGTGCAGAATACTGTATATATTATGTTATCTTTCTGTAAGGAAAGAAAATAGAAATAAGTGTACTTGCATTCCCTTGTATTTGCATAAGGAAATTCAGAAAAACAGAAAACTAATAAAAATGGTTACCTATGGTGGCAGCAGGAGTAAAGATGGGGAGAGAAGGTGAAAGTTAGAATTCTCTGGGTATATTTTTATACCTATTTTATACCTCTGAATGTCATTTGACCTTTGAACCATGTAAACATACAAATATTAAAAACCAGTTTCAGATGATAAGGGGGGAGTGCAAGTGGGGAATGCCAGTTAATGTTAAGAATGCTGGGGCTGGGGTTGTAGCACAGTGGTAGAAAGCTTACCTGGCATGTGTGAAGCTCTGGGTTTGGTCCTGAGCACCACATGTAAATAAATAAATAAAAGAAAAGTCCATTGACAACTCAAAGAAAGAAAAAGAATACAGAAAATGTTCTAAAATTAGATGGTGGTGATGGATGCAAACTCTGAATATACTAGAAACCTCTGAACTGTATACTTCAAATGGGTGTATTTTATGATATGTGAAATCTATCTCAATAAAGCTACTATAAAGAAGATCTAGGGTAAAAGTGCCCCAAAACTTTTAGGAATGATAAAAGGAGATATACTTCCTAGGCAATAGTCTAAAATGATAATAAAATAAAAAACATGAATGACTTGACGCCCATAAATTAAATACATTCTAAAAACATCTAGAAAACTCAATCCAAAGAAATCGGCTCAAGGAGAAATAGAAAACCTGAATGAATGGTCTAGATATTAAAGAAATTAAATCAGGATTTTTTAAAAAAACCTTTCACAAAGAAAACAATAGACTGAGGTGAATTTAAGAAAACTTTAGGGCTGGAGATACTACAGCTCAGTACTACCACTAAGAATGTGCTTGGCATGCCCTAGGCCCTGGCTTCCATCCCCAATACCACAAAAAACAAAAATAAAACAAAAAAGAAACGTCTTGAAAATTGTTTCAGTCTTATATAAAAATTCTTCTGGAGAAAAAGCAAAACCTTCTCTGACTCATTTTATAATACCAAAACAACCTAGACCCTAAAACTAGACAAGAAAATCAGGGTACAAATAAATGACAAGTCAGTCTAGTCATGAACATGGCTGCAAACATCATCAAAGTAAAATATTGACAAGCCAAATCCAGGCAATACATGTAAATACAGTTCATGTCAAGGTTGTTAAATACCAGAAACTCAAGGTGGATTTAACGTTAGAAAAGTCTACTAGCGAATTCAGTGCATGCTGTGGTTTTAATATGGTTTGTTTTCACCAAAACCCCTGTTGAACTTTGGAATCATTATTTAGAAGTGGTGGGTCCTTTCAGAGGGCTTAGGTCATAGAGCAGAGCTCCAACTCGAGAATACAGTAATGCTATCTTCCAAGGAGTGAATGAGTTTTCACTTTTATGGGGCTGGATTAATTATCATGAGAATGGGTTTTTAAAGTGATATCTGATCTTGACTTTCTCTTGCTTCTCTCTCACCATTTGGCCTCTTCCTCAAATGATTGCTTGCCCTTCTGATTTTCTGCCATGGGGCCCTCACCAGAAGCAGAGCTGAAGCTGGAGCTGTGTCCTTGGATTTATAGAACTGTGAGCCAACTCTTTTTCTTTATAAATCACCCAGTCTCAAGTGTTCTATTATAGCAAGAGAAAATGGACTAAGGCACCACATTAATAGGCAGAAAGAGAAAATGGCAGTTGATATTCTCACAAGATGTAGAAAAATAATTCGATAAAATTCAAAAGAATTTCATGATTTAAAAAAAGCAACCAAACCTCTAGCAAATGAAGACAAAAAGAAGATGTATACTAATGATCTATTGCAGATATTATACTTGACAGTTAGATGCTAGATGTTGTCCTTAGCCAATTAATAATAAAATCAGATGCTCAGTGTGATTTTTTCATCCAATATTTTCCTGGTGGTTCCAGACAGTCCTGGCAAAGGAGGAAAAGAAATTCCGTGTACAAGGGTTAGAAAAAAGGATACCAAACTGTAATTGTTGCTTAATGATGTGATTGTATAAATAGAGCATCCCCCCCAAATTTATAGAGATAACTAGAATTAATAAGGTGGCTCAGAAAGTTGCTTGATACATGATCAATAAACAAAAACCAATTGTTTCTTTGCTCCAAAAAACAATGAAAAAAAAAAATCAATTCACCAAAACAAAAAAATGTGGGGTGCCTAACAAGCTAGAAAATATTCTGCAACAGACTTCTAAAGGTCATAGTTTCAATGACCTTGGATCCAATTCAAACATGGTAATGGGAGGAGAGAAAAGACAGAACCTGACATGGGCATCTCAGACCTACCTCATGGTTTCTATCATGTGTTCCCCTCTATCATGGTCAGAATGTTTCAAGCTAAATAGTCGCCCTTTATCTGAGGGATATGTTCCAAGACCGGAGTCATGAATAGTACTTGTTTTTGCCTACACATGAAGACCTATGCTAAGTATAATTTATAAATTAGGCACAGTAAAAGATCAACAAGAACAGTAATAAAAATAGAACAATTATAACAACAATCTGTAATAAAAGTTATATGAGTGTGGTCTCCATTGAAAGAGTCAAGACAAATATCAATATTTTCTGTCCCTAGCTGACTACAGATAAATCCAACTGCAGCAAGCAAAATCAAGGATAAGGGGTAGCTACAATAGACGGTGGTGTAGGAGTCTCCGCAGCAGTGACCTGACAGCCTGCCTTTCACTGTTTCTGAGGAGCAGCTGGCAGAACTGCCCCAGCCCAGGGCGTCTGCAGTGTCGCCAACCATACCTGGTTCCGCTCACCCAATAGGCGAGATCATCAGCTGTACCTGCTGGGCGGGAGAGTGACAATGGGCATTAGCAGCTGGCTTGAGATGCTCCCACCTCACACTCTGCACACTTTTACAACAAATTTTCTTTTGTGAATCTGTAATACTATGGTCTGAATGTTGTGATCCCCCAAATTCACATGTTGAACCCTAATCACCACATGACCAGTGATAGGAAGTGGGAGCCTTTTGGGAGGTGACTAGGGGATGAGGGCAGAGCCCCATTGGTGAGTCGACCCTTACTCTGCTCTTCACCCTCTGACCCTTTCGGTCCTGAAATTCTCTGTTCTCTGGTGATCTTCCTGGAGGAAGCAAGAAGAACAAAGATAGCATTTCCTTGGATAGCCTCTCTACCCTGAGAAGACCATCTCACTCCTGTGTTCCCATTCTCTAGCCCACCCTTTTCTCTGGGCCTGATGTGTGGTGGATCTTTTTTAACCACCAGCTCTGTGCTTATGTTCCTGTCCCTGCTCTATGAATCCCTGCTCTACAGGCAATGGCAATTCATGGCAGCACAGTGTGGTCTGGCAGGGCTGTGTGCATCAGGGGCATAAGTGGGGGAGGCCCCAGAGAGGATGTGGTTGATTTTACTTAGCTGATGAGATGTGGGTAGCAGGAGATACCATAAGTTTGGTCTTGCACCAAGGGCAGAGGATGGGTATCTTCGTCCACTTTTCTGTTGCTGTAACAAAATATCCAAGCAGGGTAATTTATACAGAAAAAAATGTTTAATTTAGGTCATGGTTCTGGAGACTTGGAAGACAACAGCATTTGTTTGGCTTCTGGGCAAATGAGTCTATGTGGAAGAGAGAGAAGAGGGTCAAACTCCTGCAGTACCTAGCTCATTCCTGGGAGAAAGGTGTTGTTCCACTTCCATGACCCAAACAGTTCCCTTGAGGCCCGCCTCCCAGCCCTACCATGTTGAAGAATTAAGCCTCAATGTGAGTTTTGTTGGGGACAAACCCTGTTTAAACAGTAGCAGTTGGCAAGTGGCAATCTGGCATAGTAGCACTGCTCTTGCAAAGCTATGGAGGGGGAGAAAGTTTGGGGCCCACACTTTAGACACTTTTCAAAGCCACCCTGGTCAGAAACGCATGGTTTTGTTCTCTACAAACTGAAGAGTGCTGCTGGGCTTACAGAGAATTCCTATTCTTCCATGGGTGGTCTTTTGGGAACCTGGCGGGGAACGGGGAGCCTTGAAAACTTCCTTCTGTGTGCGTCACTTGAAGGCCAAGATCCTGCAATGAGGAGGCCTATAGACAGGGGTCCAGCAATAAGCCAGGAGTTTTCCTATTTTCACTAAGCCCTCGGATCCTATTTGGGGCCCTTGGACCCCTGGGCGGAGGTGGTGCCTAAATGCCACTGTGGGCTTGGAGCTGAGCTGGAACAGGGATGGAGGCTCTGCTCACCCACATCCTGACCCACTGTGACTCAGTACATTCCTGAACCATGTGCTGTGTAGATGCTAACTAGTCATCAACAGCGTTCCACAGGGTCCAGAGCAAAAATGTGGTTTGTTTGTTATGGCAACCTTAAATTTTAGGAGTGGGCAGTGGCCTTGAGTGGATGGTCGTGACATTCCAAGGATAGAGAAGAGGGATCATCCATCCCTCTGAGGGTTGGTGGATTAATGACATACCCTTAGGAATTTGAGTGTCCTTGCCCTTCAAATCAAGCCCCAAACACAGAATTTAGCATTTTCGTTCTGATTGGAATTTGTGGCTTATTACTGCTACTGGTACCATCCCAGCGAGCGTGGCTTAAATGTCAAGATATATTTTTCAGGTGCATCAGACACCAAAGATCACAGCTGTCTAGAAGAGTGAATTTTAATTAGCAAAGGGATCCCATAAAAACCTCCTTGGTTCTGATGGAACAGTCCTGACATGCTTTGTTCGGCCTGGGGTGTTTGTTACACGATTTAGATGGCTGGCGATAGCGTCCCAAGGGCCTTGGGGACTGCATGAGTGGGAACTGGTTTTAACTTTCAAACCTTATCTGTTAAGTCACTCAGGCCAAGTATCTCTGGGGAGAGAAAGAGGGCTACATAAAACGCTTTCTGAGTAGCTAATTGTGCATTGTTTCTCCCGCAGCCTTTCATGTACCTTACCTCCTTTGTAGTTAATTTATAAGATCTAGGAAGAATTTTTTTTTTTTTTTGCCCCATAGAAAGAATAGGTGGGCTACTTGCATTTGGAAAGGTGCCCTCTAACCGGTTTTCCTGAGCTGAGTGGTGAGCCTTTGACAAGCTTAGTACGTCCTGACGTGAAAGCGAACAGCCTGTGGCTCAGAGTGTACAGCATGACCCTCTGGTACAGCGTGACGAGGTAGGCAGTGGAGGCAGAGCCCAGCAGGAAGGTGTGTGGGAAGGCAGTGAATTGGGTAAGTATTAGCTGGATTGTAGAAGATGAGTAAGTATTTTCTAGGCAAACGAAGGGGACATTACTATTGACCCTACAGAAATTAAAAAAAAAAAAAAGATTATGAAGGAATACTCTATGCCCCACAAATTAGATAACTTAGATTAAATGCACAAATTCCTAGAAGGAGACAAACCATTAAAACTGACTGAAGAAGAAATAGAAAAATCTGGATAGATGCACAGAATGTAAATACCAAAAGCATAGCAACCTACTTCCAAAAAGCTGGGAAAAAAATCCCATTCTGTGCACATGAGCCTGCAAGTGCATGCATGCATACATACATACAGCGCTAAAGATGACAGAAAAAAAGACAACAAATAATTAGGACTTTGTAAAAATAAAAAATTTCTGTTTTGCAAAGAACACTCTCAAAAAAGTAAAAATAATTTCATGTCTGATAAGATGCTTGTATCTAGAATATAAAAATAACCCCTACAACTCAATGAGAAAAGATATAACCCAGTTAAAAAATGGGCAAACGATCAGAATAGAAATTTCCTCAAAGATCTGTAAGTGGCCCAAGAATCACATAAAAAGATACTCGACCTCATTAGTCGCCATGAAAATAGAAATCAAAACCACAATGAGAAACTACTTCATGCCTAGGAGCATGGCTAAAATCAGAAAGTTGGATAGAAGTGTTAGCAAGACTGGAGAAATTGAAACCCTCATGCACTGCTGCTGGAAATGTAAAATGGTACAGGCATTTGGAAAGCAGTCTAGGAGTTCCTTAAAGATTAAACGTGGACAAGAAACAACAAGCGCTGACAAAGCTTTAGAGAAAGGAGAACTCTGAAACACTGTTTATGGGAAGGTAGGTTAGTATAAATATTATGGAAAACAGTATAGAAGTTACTCAGAAAGCTAAAATTAGAATTACTGTGGACCCAGCAATATGTCCACATGAGTTGGCCTATTATCCAAAGGAAATAAAATCAGCATATCAAGGAGATATCTACATGTATATGTTTATTGTATCATTATTCCCTATAACCATGATATGGAATCAATCTAAATGTATGTAGTGATTGATAAGTGCATAAAGAAAATGTAGGAAATAAAAAGAGGATGTAGTATGTATTCACACTGGAATACTATTCAGCCATAAAAAAGAATGAAATCTTGTCATTTATAATAACATGGATGGACATGGAGAACATTATGTGAAGTAAAATAAGCCAGGCATAGAAGACAATAACCATATGATCTCACTCTTATGGAGAATCTAAAAACGTTGACTACAGAGAAGTAGAGGATAGAAAAGTAGTTACCAAAGACTGGGAAGGGGAAGGGAGAAGCGAGAATGACAAGAGGTTGTTCTATGGGTACAAAATGTCACATTGATGGGAAGAATAAGATGCATCATTCTATTACATGGTAGTGTGACTAGTTAATAAAATATTCCAAAATAGCTAGAAGAGGTTTTATTTTGAAAAATCATATTTATTTTATATAATTTTTAACAGTTATTCTGATTTTATTCCTAATAGGAGAGGTTTTTTAATGTTCTTCCCATAAAGACATTATAAAGGTTCGCCAGGTATGAGGGCACACACCTGCAGTTCCACCTACTCAGCAGGTTGAGGCAGGGGGATTGCTTGAGCCCAGGGTGTCATGGCCAGTCTGGGCAACATCGTGAGACCCTATTTCAAAAAATAAAAAGAAGTATTAAGTGATTTGTTCATTACCAAGGGTATGTATATATATGTCACATTATCTTATTGTACTCCATAAATAAGTAGGCAACAAGACAAAATAATACATAAAACAGGGAGTCACTAGGCGGTGTAGGAGGGCATGCCGGGCAGGGGAACAGTGTGGTCAGAGGTGTGAAGAAGTGCAGTGTGTTGGGAACCTGGAACTCTCCGTGTGACAAGAGTCAGCATGGAGGGGCAGAAGTGGCAAAGGATGGCAGCAGTGGGCTTGGATGGGGTCATAGGAGCTGAGGTGCCTGGATTTTCTTTGAAGGCTACAGTGAGCTAGCGAAAAACCTGAAGAGTGGCTGGCAAAGATCTGCCCATCAGAAAGACCACTCCGGAACTAGAGCCTGGAGCTGAAGCCAGGGCTGAGCTCAAGGCTTGCTGTGTCTGGATGTTGAGCATCCCCCAAAGGTCCATATGTAAAGGCTTGGCCCTCAGGGTGCAGGTGTTGGGAGGTGCTGTGCACTTTTAGGAGGTATGGGCTAGTGGGAGGTCCTTAGGTCAATGGGTCTTGCCCTCAAGGGGAATTGTGGGACACCAGCCCCTGGTCCCCCTCTGCCTCTTGCCTTATGATGTGACAAATGGCTTCAATACACACTCCTTGCCCTTGCTATCCAGTGCCCTCACCAGAGACTCAAAGCAACGGGACCACTTGGTCTTGGAATCATAGGCTAAACCACCCTTTTCTCTATATAAATTAATTATTTTAGATATTTCGTTGTAGTGACATAAAGCTGACTACAATACAAGGCTACAGTGGGAACAATGGGTGACAGGCTTGGGGAAAGAGGAAGTGGATTGGAGAGTGACCTAGAAGGCTTAATCAGTGAAGGTGGGATGCAGGGGGCAAGTCAAGGCTGGCCCTCTGGAGGATCCTTAGGAATGAGGGAGGTCCTAAAATGGGAACTGCCTCTGTGCAGCTATTACTGCTAATTACCTATTAATGAATCCAACCACTATGGCCTGAGAGTCTGCTGTGGTCCAGCCCTGTGCCAGGTACCAGAGATGCAGACCCAGAGATGGACCCCATCACAGCCATTGGCAAGGCCTTGTGGCAGACTCCATCCTGAGCAGATGAGGAATGGGGTGGTGAGCTCTTGGGTGGCAGGAGGGATTGAGACAGGTTTCCTAGAGAGGAGGTGGAGCTAATCCTTTTGCAGATTTCTTATTATTTTATTGGGCACAATGATGGAAAAGTTCAGAAGGAAATTTGGAAACAAGAGCTTCCAAACAGTCCTTACCACATTTCAATGACTGATTTTCCCATTGCCTTTGAGAGCTCTCATTGGGGGTCTGGGCCCTGCTGCTGTGACTGTGGTCAAGCTATTTAACTTCTTGATGCTTCAGGATCCTCATAGGCAAAATGGGCCTGCCTCAGGGTTAGAGTGAATACTAAATGTGATGACATTTAGCAATTGGCCTGGTGTAGAGTAGGGTCCAATAAACACCAGTTAGAGGTCTCATTCTTGCCCATGCATGCTGCTTCTTTTTATATAGTGAGCTAGCAAAAAAACTGTAAGTTCTTTTCTTTTTATATAGTGGGCCCTCCAAACCTGTAAGTTCTGCATC